ATTTCTACTGGTATAGAGTCCACCACAAAAGGTTAGATATATTTCAGTAAATTAATTATGATATATCTGTAGAATTATAATTATGATATTGATACTTGCTGCTCATAAATCAGTTTAGGATTATAGATTTTGATACATTCTACCCTCTCCATTTGTTTCTCATTGTATGTGATCCATCCTTTTATCTTCTAAAGCCCCTAAATCTTATGGGTAGACAAGGGTGAATTGATTAGGTTTCAGGTCATTAATTGTCAACAAACTACAATAGGACAACAAGTGCAATAATTTATATGGAGAGGTATGGGTTGAAAGTGAAGAATACTTTTGGTTTTTAAAATCTGTCATCACAATAGGACAAGCAAGTGCAATAATTTTAGTATATTTGCAAAGAGAATAATCAATTTCAATGTTTCTCTCTGTGTCTTGTGTATAATTGTATGTATATATGTAAATTTTTTTTGTGAATGAATGGAATCTCTTTCTTGAAATGTACTAAAAAATAATGATAATCAAAAGCTTATATTTATATGGGAAGGCAAATGTAAATAAATAGTTAAAGCAAGTTATCATAGTTTTCATTGCCCAGAATTTCAATTTAACTTGATTAAGGCATTCCTCTTCTTAGGTGTTTTTGCTTATGTGGAAGTGGAATGTATGTTTAAAATAAAATATATTTGAGTGCTACTTTTCCGAAATTTGCTGTGGATTTCATATTTTGGTTAAATACCTCTGTTTAATCTGTGTAATGGCACACTCTATGATTATATTATGAGTGCCAAAGTATATGATGTTGGTCACTTGAGGTTAGAGCTCCGCCTCAACAAGATTTCTTGATGTATATATTATACAAATAAAAATTAAGCTTTATTTATGTTTTATTGTTGTTTTGCAGCTTGTTGGAAGCCATTGATCTCATCCTCTCAGGTGCTCAGAATCTTGTGGTACCAATAAAGTCCAATTCAAGAAGAAAACTGCAAGAATCTCCCACAGCTCACAACGGCTATGAATTCTGTTGACCCAAGAAGACGTGATCAGATTTAGTCAAAATTGAAATGAAAACTTGTGATTTTAGAGTTGATATTTCAATACAATTACCAAGAGTTTCTAACATTTAATGATTTGCCTCTGCTTCTCTATGTACTGTTTGATGTGTTGGTTGTTTAGATACAGTTTTATTAACTATTGGTATGCATCTATAATTACCAAGTTATAAGTGTGTACATATCATAAATGAGTAATATGGCTTTGAAATTGGATGATTTGTGTAGATTGTTGCCTAATTTCATGTGGAATTTGTAGTATCTGGAGGGTGAATTTGAATTTTGTTTTTTTGGATTTCATTATAATGTATTTGGCTTAGTCTAGTGGAAGATTTGTTTTTTTAGATTCATTATAATGCATGTTTTCTGAAATGGTATGCTTTGGACAAAATATTGATATTTATTAATAATAATAATAAAAAAAGGTGGCGTTTTTGAAAAAAACGCCGCTAAATGACGTCATGCTGACATCACACGTTAGTATGGGACGGTAAGAGAAGCGGACGTCAACATATTTTTGTGGCGTTTTAAAAAACGCCGTCTTATATTTTTAGCGACGTTTTTCAAACGTTACAAACCTATTGCGGCGGCCGTATCAACGACGAAAATTGAAAACGTCGCTATTACTTTTTACGGCGTTTTTCAGGATTTTCGCGGCGTTTTTAAAACGCCGCTAAAAATCGAATTTCCTGTAGTGATACCCAGAAAAACATTTGCGATCAAATTTTGAAATTGAATACATGCTAATTAAAAGCAACCACATTCAATGTGCTTTATACAAACCCAACAATAGGTAAAGAGTTATATTAGGGATCATGAAAAAAATATCATGAAAATGATCATGAAAAATTTTTCACCCTTAGATTACACATATAATAAAATACCACAAACTAATCGAATGATGAAAATATTTCATGAAATATTTCATGATATTTTTTTCATGGTCCCTAATATTATTCATAGATAAAATGTAATTGTAACAACTATATAGTTTGTTTATATATAAGAACACCTTATGCATGGGCCAAAATCTCTTTCCCCAACTTCTTTATTAAGAAAAGTATACTAGGAAATCAGCGGCAATCCGATTTTGAAAATGAAACACATTAAAGGCTAGTTGAAAGCTATTACATTCAATGTGCTTGTGTATGTTGGGTGCAACATGTTTTAAGCTTGGCAATAATTATTATCAAGTTAATAATGGAGGTCAAACATATATGCAATATAGATGCTCGATAATATATATATATATATATATTACATCTTTTGTTAAGGCATTGCCAAATAGAAATATTTAATTTGGTTTCACGTAAGAGCTAAATATCTATCTATTTACACTGACTTCCCTTAAGATTTGAAGGATAAATACAACTCCCACAGTTTTTACATAATTTCACTGACTTCTCTTTTAGTAAGGTTGAAACAACCAGAATGAATGTAGATGGTTTGAAAACACAAAGATAAATAATGTAAAATAAATATTTCAATATAAAAGAGATAACATTAATTTTTAATCCACATGATTAATAAATTATCAATGAAAAAAGGACTCAGTGTTTTATGAATTAAAATACTAAGAGAGTCTAATATAATTATGCTAAATTTGTAAAATTTTATTGTCCTTTCTTTAAATCTCAAAGGAGGATAGTGTAATTCTTCCTAATAAATTTTTGTTTTGAAATTTTGAAAAAGTAATTGGGTAAAATATTTATACCAGGAATGGGCTTGTCGGCAAATTTTCCATTTGGATTGCACAGAGCTCTCATTGGGCTTCTCAATGTTCTCCAATTATTTTTAGGGGTAATGTCACAATGATTATGTCTTTATACCTCATTTGGCTTATCATGGGATGTATCATCATTATATTGGTAATAAACATATGACAAATGAGATACTAAACCCTATATGGCATAAAGACATGGTCATTGTAGTATTATTCCTAAATATAGTTAGATTGATTTGATAATTACAACATTATTTTATCATCTTTATCTTCAAAAAAATAAATTTCATTTCTTTTGAAAGCAAAGATAATAAAATCATGTTGTTATGATTATCAAATAAACTTAAATTTTTATAAATGATTTACACACCGTGTTTATAAAATGAAAGGTTCAAATCCTCATAGTGGAATCTGTACAATCCAAAAAGCCAACTGTTGAGAAGACCATTCGTTGTACAATGTTTCTATTTAAGGTAGTTTCGAAAGAAAATTTCTTTAGCAAAGAATTATTCATACAAAAGTTTCTATTAAGAACAATACCTATTGTTAGGTTTTATTTCTTGGCAATCCCGTTTGACAAAATTCCTTTGAGTTGTAATTTTATTCGCATTTTTATTTCAGTGAGGCTATGAGTTGTTAGATGCGAATCCAACCCGAATCAAGCCTTTCAGAGAAGTTTTCCTTTAGAAATGTAACCTTATGAGTCACTTAACCTAAGATGAAATTTGGGAATGAAAAAACTTAACTAGCATTTGATCTAACTGAACTGAACTCATCTCAGAGAGTGTTTACCCATTTCTTTGGGACTCAATTGGCATTGCTTTTAAAGACAAACTTTTTTTATTGAATTAGTGATAAGGAGTTTATTCTCGATGCTTTTGTGTATATATATATAGATATGAAACACCATCTAATAAGACTTCATCTTGACACAATTTCAGATTAATATGTTTTTACTATCCATAAATGTAATTAATTTTATAAATTTATGCTCTGTTTGTTTCGGTAAAATATTTTATGTGAATAAGATTTTTTTTTTTTTGTTTTAAAAAATATCATGGTTGAAAAATAATACATAGAAAATATTTTCCAATATTTAGTTAGAAGTCTGAAATAACTAGCGGTGGTAGGATGTTGGGGAAGGAAAAAGAAATAACTAGTACAAACATATTGGGTAGAGAATTATTTGTAATAATTAAATCATCATAATTTGAACAAGATAAACTTACATTAAATTAGAGAATAATAATAAACTCTTGTATTTGATATAAGATCAATTTATTTTGAACGCACCTGGCCAATGAAATGAATTCTGTATATAGTAACATGAAAATTGTACTATATGAAAATAAAAATTGATGAATTCTGTCTAAACTTTGACCAACCTAACAGTCTACTAATTTATCCTTGTTTAGGATCCCTCAAGCAATTTTAGGAGAATTGGACATAATGCAAAGGAAATCTCTCTTTAATACAATTTTTTCTTTGCTGATAAAAGAAAAAAAAACAAAAACAAAAACAAAAAAGACAAACTATTTCTCTAATTCACACAAACAAATTCTGTAAACGACCAAAGAATAGAAAATACAACCCTTTACTTCACACAATAAAATAGTTTAGTAGAGTGTTAAGCTTCTAAAAGAAAATAAGGTGAATTACACTGATAGCCTCTACATTCTGCCCCTTGTATCATTTTAGTTACACTTTTAATTGGCTCAATTGTAATACTTTTTTTTTTTTTTGGGTCAATTTGGTCTATTTGATAGCGTATGTCATTAGGATTTTTTTAACAGAGAATTATCACTAAGTTGGTTGAGATTAACTTACTGAGTTAATCTAGTTTATAATTTCACCCTAAAAACAAGACACACATCTTTCATGTGTGTATTTTTCATTAAAAAAAATGCTAACAATTATAATCAATTCGACCAAATTAGTATAAAATCATAAATTCCAGATAATAATCAAATCAGTTGAAATTACAATAATCAAAATGACACAAGAACCAAAATATATGGACTATCAGTATAATTTGTCCAAAAAAATATTATTTGGAAGGCCACAAACCAAATATAAATATATTCACTAAAAATTTAAAGATATGAACATAAACAGATAAACCCACAGTATATTTATCAATAGGATGAAGAGGCATTTGGTGTAATGTTTTTTTTTTTTACTTTATTATTATTAATTTTGTTTATTTTTTATTTTGTGTGTATAGCAATAATGCATACCTTTTCTATGAAGAGATCGGCGATGCACCGCAGCAAATGGTAAATATTACTCCTCTTCCACATCATAACCTGCATGTGGCAAGTATCAAATGATTACTAAAACTAAAAATATATATAGCTACAATCAACACCACTTCTTCTATCGAATATCATTTATCAGAAGTGATTTAATTATTAAGTCATTTAAACTATCACTTCTGACCCACAATAAAAAGAAGAAAAAAAATTATCTAACGACTGAACTTTTGAAAAATAGATTGAGACTTTCAGCGTCAATCACCACACTATATTTTTGCTTATATAATCGTATAGGTAGATAAATTTTTAATTTTTAATTTTTAATTTTTAATTAATCTTCTGCCAATTGGCAAAAAAAAAAAAAAAAGACAAAGCTAACTAAGTACATACTTCTACCTTGTATTTGAATCATAAATTTAGATAGAGAGAAAATAAAAAAGATAAATCAAAATAGATTAAAAATAAATAATAAATAAATAAAAATTAAAATTAACCTATATTTTCATTCACATTTCACTAACTTTTTTCTTTTTCCTTTCCAAATCTTTACCCAAGACTATGATTTGTGTTTTAGATCATGAATTCGAGTGAAGATATGGAAAGGAAAATGAAAAATGAAAAATGTGAGAATAATGTAAATGAAATATGAGTTGATATTTTTTTAACTTTTCATTTCCAAATCCTTGTCCAAATAACCAAACAGAGCATAAGTTAATGAATTAATCTATTTCTAACCAATCACGTTGCTAAGAAATTAGTGTATACACAATGCTCAAAATCTGGAGTATATATTATTAATTTCCGAAATATAACAATTGTTGGAGACAATAATTATATCTTAAGATTAATAACATGCACATAGTTTATTAAGGCTGTGTTTGATTGGAGAATTTAATGAGAGAAATAGAAAGAGAAAAGAAAATGCAATCTCACTTTTTGTTTGGTTATAATGAAAAACCCATAAAAAAAAAAAAAAGAAAGTGAGAGGAAAATGCAATCCATTTTTTGTCTTTTGATTCACTTATGCTTTTTTATTTTTCCATTTCCCAACTCAACCAAAGGAATTTGAATCTTATCAATTCTTTTTCATTTTCTTTCTATTTCCTTTTCTCTTTCTACTTCCGACATCAAATTCTCCAACCAAGTACATCTTAACGGTTTAGCTTCTCTCAAATTAACCATCTCAACTCGAGGATAAGTATTTTTGGAGACCTTATTATTACTATTATTATTGAAGCAATGCTATATGTAATTTCAATTCTGACCTCTTTTTATTATTCCTAGACACACAAAAAATGAGATTTATATTCATAAATGCATATAGAATCCATTTATTTGTGTATAATTATATGTAGCAATTTCTTATTATTGTTAGGACAAAAGAAGCCAATAGGTTTGACCGGATGTAACCGAACCATGGATGACAACAGCTAAATCGTGGACTTGAATTCTCTCTAGCACTTTTCCATCCAACAATTCAACAATTAACCATTATCACCTATTGAATCAACTATTGAATGATGAATGGATGAAGAAAATGTTGGAGAGAATCTTCTTCCTTAAACCGCTCCCATTTTGGGAGATGTCGATGTGGCAAGTATATGAGGCAGTGAAGTTGCTTTCTTGAGAGAATTTTATTTGGAAATCAACTAGAACAAAAGAAGCATATTTGCTTGGAAGTATAATTAATTGGTTACCTCGATACTTGGGGCAGATATCTACACGCAATTTGAAGATCCAAATTTGGGATTTTGGAATTCCAATACACATGAGACTCGGAAGATTTTCAAGTTCCACATTGAAAATATTGATTTTGCCCCTTTCATCATTATCGTTGTCATTGTCGACTTCATCGTCTTCTTCTTCTTCTTCTTCTTCCACAATGAAAATATTGATTTTTCCCATTTCATCATTATCGTTGTCATCGTCATTGTCATCATCAGCTTCATCATCTTTGTCTTCTTCTTCTTCTTCTTCTTCCCTGGTGACAATCTTTTCTACTTTCTCACAATTCTCAATTCTTACATATTCTAGACACCAAAGGACCTTGACCATGGAAATTGTGAATATATATCTCAGGTTGTCACACCTCTCCACTTCTAGGGATTTTAGATTTTTGAAAGAATAAGTTCGTTGGAAAACATTCGTCCATATATGCGTCAACTTGGGCAGATACATAAATTTCAAATCTTCAAACCAAGTGATTGATGTTCCTTCCTCACCAGTAGTAGCAGCGCATACCGACCCTTGGAGGTCAAATATTGTTTCCAGTGAATCACACCACCATACCTTCAGCCGTTCTAGATATCGTAGTCTTTGCATTAAATTCGACGAGATCACATTTGATAATTTCTCACACCATTGGACCAACATGAATCTCACTTTGTCAAGGTGGTCAACTTCAAGTTGGTTGTGCCACATCTCTATCGATCCATTTATGTCTGTGATAGTAAGTTTTCCAAAGTTGTACTCAAACCAGTTACTGAAAATAAACTGCAAGTCCATTAAACTTAAATGTGTTAGTGTTAGTGACATTGTTACTTTACCCCAAACCTTCATTTTATTCAGCAGTTTTGTAGATAGTTTGGGAAAAAAAAATGAAATTTTAAATGAAGTTTTGATGTCATATTAACAACTTTCATGATCATAGACGGCAATTAACGGTGGCGGCAAAATTAATTCAAAATCAATTAATATTATTAAAAGAATAGAGATTAAATTAATTTTTGAGTGATAATTTGAGGACAAAATAATACCCTATAAAATACTTGCATAATGTAAGATATCCTCTACACTATGTTTCGATTAAGAATTTAGATAGGAATTTGAAAAGGTAAAAGAAAAAAAAAATTAACTTATACTTTATTCACATTGTCCTCGCCTTTTTCTTTCCCATTTCAAAATTCCAACCTAAATTCATAATTCAAAACACCGCCTTAATATTTGAACAGCAGCTAAGGAAAATGAAGCATTTAAACTTAGGACACGACTAGTTTTGTGCATGGAATTTAATTAAAGAAAAACAGCAGCATCCAAATAGTCTTATGTTGTGTTTGGTTCATGGATTTGAGGAGAAATTTGAAAAGAAAAAGAGAAAATATAAGTAAAATGTGAATGAAATATAACTACATTTTATCTACATTTCACACATATTTTTCATCTTCTTTTTTATTTTCAAATCTCTATCCAAATTCATGAACGAAATACAACCTTAAAATGAAATAGTCAGACTCAATATGGTACAAGAGCTTGTATCGAATCTGAAAATGAATTTTAGAATACGGTTACCATCAAGAAAACTATAACAAAGCATTGCTTCAAGCCAAAAATTAAATAGAGAAATCGACCTTTCTATTTAAATTTTACACATCCAACTCTCTCCTCTAACATCTGTTAGACAGTTACCATCTCACTCTGCAAGTATTATAAAAAAAGAAAAAATTACATATTAGTCCCTAAATTTTACTACTCTTACCTAATTTTTTATAAGTTGTATATATAAAAAAATTATTAATAAATCTTTTTTAATTTTTTTAATAGACTTATATAGTTTTTTTTCGCCCTAAAGAAGGCTCCATTCATTAAGCAACAAGATCCAAAAAGTCATGTTGTCACAATATCACGAATAACAATACAAAATTATGGACTTTAGAAAATCAAAAAATAAAATAAAAAATTATGCACTTTAAATGGAGAATTTGAGTAGGGATAAATCATTAAGATTAAAGAGACTTAAAAATCTTTAATAATATATCAAATTAGGGTAATTTTTATTAAGTTGGCAAAATTACTTGGAGGTTTTGTTGGGCTTCTAGACCCATCACGAGGCCAACCTCAATGCTCTGAGCCATTCATATCGAAAAATCTATTGAGAAAATCAACCTTGTAAAAAAATCAAATTGTTTGGACAACTATAATTACATGGTTAGATCACACTTGTCATATAGAAATGGACAACAATTATAATTTTATTATATACTGTTTATTATTTTGAAGATAAATGTATTATAATAATATAATTATAGTATTCAAATCAATTTAATTTTTATAAGAATGATCTTTTTGACTTTGATAAGTTACATCAACTCAAGCCAAAAGAAACAGATCAGTCGACAAAGACAGAGTCACACCAATTGCACCGGTTGCAGCAGTTCAAGCCTCAGCCATAGCAGTTCAAGTCTCAGCTACAGGTCAAGAGGTTATCCAAGCCATCTGTTGACAACACTCAAGAGCTGAGCACGTGTATGAAATTGAGACAGTTACAATCCACTTGTGGTGGTTAGAATAAATCTGTTAGGCTGTTATATAAACTCAACTATAGTTAGTTAGTTAGGATATTGAGTTAGGTAGTTATAGTTTATGTATAAAAGAGAGATACAGTTGTATTTGCTGATTGATTGAAATGAGAATTTGATATTTTATAAATCCTTTCATGGTATCAGAGCATTGTGAGCTCCACCGAGCATCCTATCTTCAACAAGATACAGTAATGGCAACAAATCTGCAAGAAGCAACAATGGCAGATTCAATCTCTGTTCCAGGTTCTGTAGATATCTCTATGTTACCTTCAAATCTCACTCTTCTTATTCGCAATCTGAACTACTTTGTTCCAATCAAACTTGATTCTACAAACTATATCATTTGGAAGAGTCAGTTTCAGAATATCTTGAGAGCTACAAAGCTAATAGGCTTTGTTGATGGTTTCGTACTCTGTCCTTCATCTACAATCCATGATGCACATGGAAATTCTGTTCCGAATCCAGCATTTACTCATTGGATCACCATTGACACACATTTGTTGAGTTGTATTACTGCTACACTTTCACCATCCATCTTCACTTCTGTTTTGCACTGTGGGACAAGTACAGAGGTATGGAATACACTAGCTACTCGATTTACATCTCTCTCTCGATCTCATATTCATCAGCTAAAGAACAAGCTCAATCATCTGACAAAGAAGAATCTTAGTATGGAGGACTACTTGAATCAAATCAAGACTGTTTCTGATCAGTTGAGTTTGGCTGGTTCACCAATTGAAGATGAAGATTTAGTTTTAATCACCTTAAATGGTTTACCTGATGAATATAATGCTTTCAAGACAACTATTCGAGCAAGATCTGAGCCTATTTCTATTTCTGCTTTATCTGCTCTACTGTGTTCCGAATCTATTCATATTGACACCTCTCTCAAGCACACTCATGCTTCTGATCTTCCTTTTGCTTATGCGACTACTCGAGGGAATTATAGAGGTTTCAGAGGATCTTAGAGAGGAGGATATCGAGGTTATGGCTCATATAGAGGTCGAAATAATGGCAGATTTTCACAGAACAAAGGTAGAGACAGAACATCTCCTCAGTTTCAACAGTTTCAATCTCCACATCAGTCCTCTGTTCAAGGAGGCAGAACATCTTCTCAGTTTCAGTCTCAGTTTCAATTTCCACATCAATCCTCTGTTAGCTCTTTGGTATGTCAAGTTTGTGGAAAGCCTAATCATTCAGCTTTGGAATGTTGGCATAGGCTTGATACAACACTTCAAGCATCTAAAACTCATCCCAGGGCTTATGTTGCCTCCTCATCTAACAATGTTGTTCCTGATTCTCCTATGCATACAGCAGAAAGTTCTACTTGGTTCTTAGATTCTACTGTTTCCAATCATTTCACAAATGATCTCAACAATCTGAATACTTACCAACCTTATCTTGGTCTAGATCAAGTCACTGTGGGAGATGGTTCCACCTTGCCTATTCATCATACTAGTAATGGCATTCTTCCTACTCCCACTGTACCTTTCACACTTAACAATTTGTTCCATGTTCCATCCATTTCTTCAAATCTTCTGTCAGTTCACCAATTAATTGATGATAACAAGTGCACCATTACTTTTGATGTTGACTCCTTTGTTATACAGGACAAACGTATGAAGAAGGTTCTGTATAAAGGAGGCTTTTCTCATGGTCTTTACCATCTACCAGCTTCAACTTCTTCATTGTCTTCTCAACCTGTTTGTCTTCATTGTTCCACTGAAGATTATGCTCATCATGATTCTCTTTGGCATTCTAGACTAGGACATCCTTCATCTAAGAAATTGAATTTTCTTATTTCTAAGCATCATTTACCTACTATGGGTGCTACTGTGGTTTCAAATAAATTGTGCACACATTGTTGTGTGTCTAAGAGTCATAGGTTGCCATTTAGTCTTTCAACTTCCTCTATAAATCAACCTTTAGCTCTTATCCATTCTGATGTATGGGGACCATTTGCTGTCTCTGTTTCAAACTATAAATACTATGTTCTTTTCATTGATGACTTTAGCAAATTTACATGGTTATTTCCTTTGTCTTACAAGAGTGAAGTCTTTTCCAAGTTTGTTGACTTTAAGACCTTTGTGGAAACACAGTTTCACACCAAACTTAAAATTCTGAGAAGTGATAATGAGGGAGAATATTTGGCTTCTAAATTTCAGAATTTTCTTACCACCAAAGGTATTGAACATCAGCTCACTTGTCCACATACTCCTGCTCAGAATGGAGTGGCTGAGAGGAAGCATAGACACTTGATTGAAACTATTATCACTCTCATGCATCAATCTTCTCTTCCTATCAAATTTTGGGTTGATGCTCTTGCTGCTTCTGTGTTTCTAATTAACAGGTATCCCACTTCAAAGCTAAACAATTTAACTCTTTTTGAAGTACTGTTTAAGCATGCTCCTGATTATAATTTTTTAAAAGTCTTTGGCTGTAAATGCTATCCTTGGCTTCGACCCTATACTACACATAAACTTCAGCCAAGATCCATTTCTTGTGTGTTTCTTGGTTATCAACCTTCTACAAAGGGTTATAGGTGTCTTGATTTGTCCAGTGGTAAGATGTATATTTCCAGACATGTTCTTTTTGATGAAACTACTTTTCCATTTCAAGATCCTTCTTTCAGTGTTTCTATTCCTGCTCCTACTTTACCTCAGTTGCATACTTTCTTTTGGCCTCTAGATAATCCTACCTCCCACTCTATGTCCTTAGCTCCTTCCTCTGTTACTGTTTCTCCTGTCTCTTCTGGTCCAATTTTTGCAGCTGGTTCTGTTCCTTTTTTTGTCACATCTACATCTGCAGGTCTTGCCTCTGCAGATCCTAGTTCTGTTTTTTCAGTAAAAGCACCTCCTGTTACTACAACCTTACCACTCTCTATTTTAGCTGCACCACTAGCCTCTTCTGCTGCTGCACCAATAGTACCTATTGCTGCACCAATAGCTCCTCCTGCTGCTGCACCAATTGCTCCTACTGTAACATCTATTCCTATTTCCTCTATCTCTATAGACTTGCCTCTCCATTTACCTTCTCAGAATCATCATTCAAGGCTTACTAGATCTAAGACTAAAGCTGTGTCAACTTGTTTCTTAGCCTCTACTGATGCTTCTGCTGAAGATATTGAACCATCTACTTACCAAGAGGCAACTCAATCTTCTACATGGCAAGCTGCCATGCTGGATGAATTCCAAGCCTTACAAAAACAGGTCACCTAGTCTCTTGTGCCATTACCTCTTGGTAAATCTGCTATTGGTTCCAAATGGGTGTACAGAATTAAGAAAAATTCAGATGGTACAATTGCAAGATATAAGGCTCGTTTGGTTGCTAAGGGTTTTCTTCAAATAGAGGGAATTGATTTTCATGAGACATTTAGCCCTGTGGCCAAACAACCAGCTGTTCGGATTCTTTTAACCTTTGCACTTCATTTCCAATGGCCTATCAAGCAGCTTGACATATCAAATGCTTTTCTCCATGGTGTACTTGAGGAAGAAGTCTATATGCACCAGCCTCAAGGCTTCAATGATGTATCTTCTCCTCATTTGGTTTGTAAACTGCACAAATCTCTTTATGGTTTGAAACAAGCCCCAAGGGCTTGGTATTCCACTTTTTTCACTTTTCTTCATTCTCAAGGCTTTCTATCTAGTCATTATGATTCCTCTCTTTTTGTTAAGAAAACAGCTTATTCTATTCTTATTTTACTTATCTATGTTGATGATATACTTTTAACTGGTAGTGATTCTTCTGAAATTGCTCACCTTGTTCATCAAATGCATTCTACCTTTGCCATGAGAGCTTGGGTCTATCAATTATTTTCTTGGTATTTCAGTCACTTCTCTCATGGTTATTTTCTCTCTCAGCACAAATATGCCACTGAGATTCTTGCCAAAGCTGGCATGACTGACGGTAAATCATATTCCTCACCTATGGCTCTTAAACAGGTTGATTCTTCCATTGATATTCCATTTTCTAATCCTACTCTTTACCGCAGCATTGTGGGTGCTCTTTAATACTTAACTATAACTCGTCCTGATCTTTCATTCGCTGTGAACTATGCTTGTCAATTTATGCATCTTCCTCTTGTTAGCCATTTTGCTCATGTTAAACGTCTTCTCAGATATCTTAAAGGTACTCTCAATCTTGAACTACTGAGGCGGAATATTGTGCTTTGGCCCAAACAGCAGCAGAGCTTAGTTGGCTTACTATGCTCTTATCTGATCTTCACATCACAGTCCCTTCTCCTGCTCTCTGGTGTGATAATATATTTGCTATTTCACTTTCATCTAATCCTGTTTTCCATGCTCGAACAAAGCATATAGAGGTTGATTATCATTATGTTCGAGAGAGAGTCACTACTAAGCAGCTCAATATTCTTCACATTTCCACTTCTAATCAACTAGCTGATATTTTCACTAAACCCCTTTCTCCTCAGAGGTTTCAGTACCTACAGTCCAAGCTTATAGTTCTCCAAGCTCCCCTAAGCTTGAGGGGGCATGATAAGCTACATCAACTCAAGCCAAAAGAAACAGATCAGTCGACAAAGACAGAGTCACACTAATTGCACTAGTTGCAGCAGTTCAAGCCTCAGCCGCAGCAGGTCAAGCCTTAGCTACAGGTCAAGAGGTTATCCAAGCCATCTGTTGAGAACACTCAAGAGCTGAGCACGTGTATGAAATTGACACAGTTACAATCCACTTGTGGTGGTTAGAATAAATCTGTTAGGCTGTTATATAAACTCAACTATAGTTAGTTAGTTAGGATATTGAGTTAGGTAGTTATAGTTTCTGTATAAAAGAGGGATACAGTTGTATTTGCTGATTGATTGAAATGAGAATTTGATATTTTCTAAATCCTTTTAGACTTGTCATAATTTTAACGAATACAGCAAACGGCCTCTGACAGAAATACTATAGGACACATTTTATACATTAGACAAAACTAACACAAATTAAGGAGTGCATGGCATGAAAATGAATTTGTTCATACAATAAAAAAATACACAAAATAGGATTCCTCTAATATGTAAACTTTACATCTAAAAAGTGTAATAATTCCACCCAAAATAAGTCTTTTTATTTGTATCAATCAAAATATGTGTATTGTTTACACATTTAAAAAATATGTGAATAAAATTGGACTAGATGGATATTGATTGACTAATTGGACATCTCAAACGGTTCAAATCGAGTGGGAGTTATGATCAAATCATGGTGGGGAATTAGCACAATTTATCATCTCATATATTATCAATATATTAGTTTAATAAAGAACACTCGGGTCAATCATGTAAATTCAAAATTAAAATTTTGGGGGCAATTGTCTCAAATTATATATTTTTTTTATCCATAATGATAACAATAATTTGAAATATTATATAACATTACCTATCCATCTATCTATTTATTTACAAATATGTCATTTTGTCCACATGCCCATCTATTTGTCTATTTATTGTTCATCAATAAACTAGAATAGAGAACTCCAAAAATTGATGTTTACAAATTTGTTTACCTAATAAATCTTTGTTAAAAAAAATTGAAAGTGGTTGGGCTAGGTATAGGGCGGGGTGTATAGATCATAAAATATAATAATAATAATAATAAACTAATCATATTGATTTGATAATTAAAACAATATGATTTTATCATCTTTAATTTAAAAAAAAAAAAACTGGACGATCTTCCATTTTTTTAACATAAATATGATAAAATTATGGTGAATGCTACATTTTAAAGTTAATTAATGTACCTTTCCATCCAAGAGATGGAGTTGAGATGAGGTTGAAAAGCCTGCCTTTTGTTGCTCTAGCTTGCTCTGAAATGCTGATGGAAGTATCTTCATTTTGGGACAATCGATTGCTTCTATTGTTTTCAACAACGATCCCTCAAACGTACAAGCCTTAGAGCAGAAACTCCTAAGGTTTGGCAAATCACGGAGTTTGAGACTACTTAGTTGAGGCAACATGATCATATTTGTTATCACTGCATCATCTACATTTGGTTCATTTCCGATGATTGATTCCATCATATCACATTCAGTTACCTCTATTTCTTGTAGTTTCACAAGAAGTTTGGCTAGAGAGCATGAGAACAGATTTCTCAAACTGTCACAATCATGTACTTCTAAGGATCTTAGATTCTGAAAGCTTTGAATTCCTGGTGAATTGTCCTTCCAAACATGTGTCAACTTTGGTAGACGCCTTAGTTCCACTTTTTTTAATGAAGGGAGTGCCATATCTGATATGCCTTCCCAAACAAGTCCTTCAAGGTCAAATGCTACTCCAATAGATCGACAGTCCATTACTTCAAGTAGTTCAAGATTTTGCATGCCCTTAATTGAATTGCATGGGAAAAGAATATTTGAGAGCCCATGACACAATTTAACTGTCATCGTTAGTTTAGCTTCAATGGTAGCCAATTTATCCTGTGAGTTCATTCACATGGTTACAAACATAACTAAGCACAACAAACTTTATTCCATTAAACATCATCCATTTAGTTTTCAAATTAATAGACTTGATGTTTGAATAATTAAACGTAAAACAGTTCTTACAAATCTATTGCAATACATTTTTAAGTCCTAATTAAGCTAAAAAGTCCAACCCATTTTATTAGATTCTTAAATATACCAAATACAAAAATACAAATTAAATTTCTTTGTGGTATACTGCAAGGTGATCAAGGTGATAGAGAGTCGAATTTAGTAAGATCTTAAAGTGATTACTATCCTAGTTATAAAATCGTTTAGAATTGCACTATAATCTCGATTTTACTACAATTCCAATCCTACCAATTATTTTTCTAATTATTTATTTCTTATATGTGTGTGTGTGTGTGTGTGTGTGTGTCTCTATATATAAAATTTGACTACAAACTCATTTCACACGCCTCCTCTAATTTATGTTAACTTTCAAAGTTTTATATTAAATTTAGGGTAAATTACGACAATAGTTTATGTACTTTTGTCCTTGTGTCATTTTGGTCCTTTTAATTTCAATTAGCTCTTTTGACTTTAAATTTATGACTTTGTTTCAATTTTGTCCAATTGATTACAACTTTTAGTTTTTTTTTTTTTATTATGAAATAAATGCATATAAGTGGTATGTGTCATAATTTTGAGAGTAGAATTATAAACTTACTCAACTGAGTATGTTAACCTCAATCAATTTAGTGATTATCTTCCGTCAAAAACAATAACAACATTATCAATTGGACCAAATTGATGCAAAATCTAAAATTAAGGATTAAAGTTAAACCAATTGAAAGTATAGGGACTAAAATGGCACAAGGGGCAAAATGGACGGACCACTAATGTAATTTGCTCTTAAATTTATTATTTTTCTATAATAATTTCAAAATTATGTATCATACATTATCGTTATCGATAATTTTTAATTTTAATTTTTATTGAAAGTTGAATCTTCCAAAGAGACCACACTAACAAAATTCAATGGTGCAAGCTTAATTGGGAAATAAAGTTTAGGGCCAAATAATGAATTAGTAATACTTTAGGGGCACAAAGTGTGATTTACCATAAAATTAAAAGTACATTAAATTATAGATTTTTTTATCAATGCTTTTCAAATCTATATGGATTAGCCTTAATTAGTAATAATAATTTTAAGAACCTTCAATTTATTAAAAGCTTTATCAAATTCAGATTTTATAAGTTGGAGTTTTCAATAGAAAGTCTCATATTGAATTCCTACAATATTAAGTCTCATAAATTTTGTATAATCCCTGAAGTCCCATTGAACAATTAGTTCAAGTCTTTATTTTTTGAATTGTAGGTATTAACTTTTGTCCAGCAAATCTTTAGTGTTGTTAGATTAATCTTTAGAATTGTTTAGATTCATCTCTGTCATACATATTGATTGATATTTTTCTTTCTTATAGTTGTAAGTTTCTAATATCTAAAAGGCCATGGTATGGTACACATCTTCAAAAGTGTGTGTATTATATGTAAGTTATTATGACATTTGTGAGGTAGATTATCATAAATATCATAACTATATCGTTTCTAGTCGCAATTTAAAAAAATAGTCATAACCAAACACTTTTTGGATCACAACCAATATCACAATTAGTCATATGCAAGTTATAACTAATATCATAATAAATTTTTTCTTTTTATTTTATGAACGGTCAGAATCAATCACAAAGAGAAACAAGACGTGAGAAGGGGGACTAGCCACCCAATTCAAAAGAAGAGAATCTCACAATAAGTCATAACTAAAAATCATAAACGTTATAACTAAGGCATATATATCATAGAATTTTCCATATCTAAATTGTCTAAACAAATCTTTGGACAAATTACACCAATAATCTCTACATTTTGTCCCTTATGTCATTTTGGACTCTACACTTTCAATTGACTAAATTTTGATCGTTAATTTTAGATGTTGTGTCAATTTAATTCAATTAATAAAGCCATTAGTGTTTTTGTTTAAAAATTATCATTGAATTGATTAAAATTAACTCATTAAGTTGAGCAAATTTATAATTTTGTGTCTAAAAATTTTAGTAGTTGTAATAAATTTGAATAAAATAAAGTCATAAATTGATGGTATAATCGAGCTAGGGTCGGCCTTAAGATTAATATCCACACAAATTCTACTTGTACATCTAATCACTAAAATTATATATTACATATATTTACATAAATCAAGACGTAAAGAAATTATTACAATAATTAAAAGATATAAAAATATAATCTCATTACTTTATGATTTAACAAATCAAGATTACAACAAAAGAATAAAAACAAATAAATAAATACAAACGTATAATACAAAATAAAAATTAAACCAAAATATTAATTAAATAGTACTTTTATCGTATTTTTAAATGTAGAACTAATTATGCATTCACAATTTACTAGGGCATTTAATTAAATTAAATCCTTACTTTTTAGCCTCCTAAAGTCGTAAGAGTTAAAATTAGTTGAGATTAAGAGTGAGAAGTTACCTTACACCAAATTAGCAAGTTAGGCTAATATGAAGGGCTGAGCAAGGAATCCGTGAAATCCGTAATTCGATCCAGTCCAGTCCAATCCGATAGGTTTTGTTAGGTTTTATTTCTTGGCAAACCCGTTTGACAAAACTCCTTTGAGTTGTAATTTTATTCGCATTTTTATTTCAGTGAGACTTTGAGTGTTTAGATGCGAATCCAACCCGAATCAAGCCTTTCAGAGAAGTTTGTATTGATAATGCTTTCAAGATTGCCACTTCGCTGATTATGACGGGGATCGAGCTGCCCGGTCAGCTCGCGGGGGTCCAGGGGGCAGCGCCCCTTGGCGGTCCGGGGCAGCGCCACGGCGGGGTTGAGGGGCAGCGCCCCCGAAGCAAAATGCAAAAATGCATTCAAAGTTGCCTGTCCAATCATATTATATTTTTCCAGTTTTTCGCCTTCCCGCTCGAGCGGGGAAAGGGGCGCTCGAGCGTGGATTGGAAGCTCTCAGCATCTCTGCAGTCGCCTGTAAAATACTAGAAGGTGTGATTTTACGCTCGAGCGGATTATCCTACGCTCGAGTGCATCTCAGTTTGTTCGCACGCAGTTTTTGGTCAGTCCGCTCGAGCGGGCTGTGTTGAGCTCGAGCGGAGATCGCGGGACAGATTCTATATCGGATTGGTTCCATGATTTAAACGGATTGGATTGGTTCCAATTTTTCAGGAACCGCAGATAACGGATTGGTCCTGGTTTTACCCCAATCCGATCCAATCCGAACCATGCTCACCCCTACTAATATGATTCCCCCTCGCAAGATATGTATTGTTTCGTTTGTTGCATATTTTAGAGTCATTCTATTAAAAAAATATATTAATAGGTTATAATTTTTTCATTTAAGATATATATTGTTTCACATATTTTAGAGTCATTCTATTAAAAAAATATATTAATAACTTATAATTTTTTCATGTAAGATATATATTGTTTCACATATTTTAGAGTCATTCTATTAAAAAAATATTTAATAATATGTTATAAGTTTTCTTTTAAGTAAGGAAATATAATTGAGCTACAATCAAACATTTTATGACTAATTATTCACAAATCTGTCATTTTGTCCACATGCCTATCTATTTGTCCATTTGTTGTTCATCAATAAACTAGAACAGAGAACTCCAAGAATTGATGTTTAGAAATATGTTTACCTAATAAATCTTTGTTAAAAAATTTGAAAGAGTGGTTGAGCTAGGTAGGGCGGGGGGCGTACATTTATCACAAGTCCTATTTTGATAATTTATTTTTTTTTTTATTTTTAAAAAGTCTTTGTGTATAGATCATAAAATATAATAATAATAAACTAATCATATTGATTCGATAATTAAAACAATATGATTTTATCATCTTTATCTTCAAAAAACTGGACGATCTTCCATTTTTTTGAACATAACTATGATAAAATTACATTATTATGATTATCATATAAATATGATTCTTTTATTAATAATTTATGCAAGATTATCAAGATATTTGAACCGTTTATTTTGTAGGGCCCTTTGTGTAAATCTTCTAGACAAAAAAAAATTATCTTGATCTGATAATTGTAACCTGTTCAATTTGTTATGTTTGTCACTCAAAAAAAAAAATTTGTTGGTCTATTTTAAAAAACACACATTTGCCATCCATTTTTCTATGTAGGAATTGATAATTAATTAACGGTGAATGCTATATTTTAAAGTTAATTAACGTACCTTTCCATCCAAGAGATGGAATTGAGATGAGGTTGAAAAGTCTGCCTTTTGTTGGTCTAGCTTGCGCTGAAATGCTGATGGGAGTATCTTCATTTTGGGACAGTTGATTAGTTGTATTGTTTTCAATAATGATCCCCCAAACGTACAAGCCTCAGAGCAGAAACTCCTAAGGTTTGGCAAATCACGGAGTTTGAGACTACTCAGTTGAGGGAATATGATCATATTTGTTATCACTACATCATCTGCATTTGGTTCATTTCCAATGATTGATTCCATCATATCACATTCAGTAACATCTATTTCTTGTAGTTTTACAAGAAGTTTGGCTAGAGAGTATGAGACTAGATTTCTCAAATTGTCACACTCATCTACTACTAAGGATCTTAGATTCTGAAAGCCTAGAATTCCTGGTGAATTGTCCTTCCAAACATGTGTCAACTTTGGTAGACAGATTAGTTTCACTTCTATTAATGAAGGGAGTGCCATATCTGATATGCCTTCTTCCCAAACAAGTCCTTCAAGGTCAAAGGCTACTCCAATAGATTGACAGTTCGTTACTTCAAGTACTTCAAGATTTGGCATGCCCTTAACTGAATTGGATGGGAAAAGAATATTTGAGAGCTCATGACAGCATCTAACTGTCATCTCTCTTAGTTTAATCAATTTAACCTGCGAGTCCATTCACATGGTTACAAACATAATTAAGCACAACAAACTTTATTCCATTAAACATCATCTATTTAGCTTTCAAATTAATATACTTCATATTTGAATAATTAAATGTAAAACAGTTCTTACAAATCTATTACAATAGAATTTTAGATTCTTGAGCTAAAAAGTCCAACCCATTTTATTTTATTTTAAATTTACCATATGTAAAAAAATACACATTAAATTATTTTCTTTTGGCATACTGTAGGGTGATCAAGATGATGAGGAGTCAAATTTGTCACTAGATAATGAGGTACAAATCATGGTTGTCAGAATGTTAATCCAGATCATAGGATTTTACCATTCTACAATTTCAGTTGGGTTAAATGATGTGAATCACACTAAGATCTTAAGTTTAGTAAGATAAGTAACCACAATCCTAGTCATAAAATTGTGTAGAATCGCACTATCATCCTGATTCTACAACAATCCCAATCCTACCAAAATTTTTCTTATTATTTATTTCTTATATCTATATATAAAATTTGATTATAAACTCATTTCACACATCTCCTCTAATTTATGTTAACTTTCAAGATGTTTTATATTAAAATTTAGGGTATTACGACAATACTTTCAGTACTTTCGTCCTCGTGTTATTTTGGTCTCTGTAATTTCAATTGGCTCGATTTTGACCCTAATTTTATGGCTTTGTTTCAATTTTGTCCAATTGATTACAATTCTTAGTTTTTTTTAACATGAAATATATGCATATAAGTGGCATGTGTCATAGTTGTGAGAGTAGAATTATAAACTTACTCAACTCAGTATATTAGCCCAATCAATTCAGTGATTTTCTTCCGTCAAAAACAATAATGGCATTATCAATTAGAGCAAATTGATACAAAATGACCAAAGTATATGGACGAAAATGACACAAGGGGCAAAATGTAAGGACCACGAATGTAATTTGTTCTTAAAATTATCTTTTTTTTTTAATGATTTCAAAATTATAACATACATTATCGTTATTGATAATTTTTAATTTTAATTTTTATTAAAGTAGAGACTTCCAAAGAGACCACATTTTCAAAAATTCAATGGTGCAAGCTTAATTGGGAAATAAAGTTTAGGGCCAAATAATGAATTAGTAATACTTTAGGGGCACAAAGTGTGATTTACCATAAAAATTAAAAGTGCGCTAACTTATATTTTTTTTTTATCAATGCTTTCCAAATCTATATCGCCTTAATTCGTAATAATAATTTAAGAACCTTCAGTTTGTTAAAAAGCTTTATCAAATTCATTTATAAGTTGGGGTTTTCAATTGAAAATCTCATTGAATTCCTACAATAATAAGTCTCATAAATTTTTGTTTAATCCCTGAAGTCCCATTAAACAATTAGTTCAAAAATGGGCTCGTTTGGTTTGATTTTCTGAAAAAAATTTGGGAAATTTTTTCTACAAATAATTTTTCAAAAATAATCAAACCAAACAAATTTTCCCAAAAAAATTTCCCAAAACTTGTAAACCAAACAAGTTTTCCAAACAAATCTCTCTCTCACACACATCAAATCAATCACTTTTTCCAAAACTCTATCTCAAAATAATTTTCCAAAACATCTTTTAAAAAAAACCAAACCAAACATGTTTTCGTACTTTTTATCTCTAAAACACATCTCTCAAACACAAACCAAACATACCCAACTTTCGTTTAGCAAATCTTTAGTACTGTTAGATTAATCTTTAAGACTGTTTAGGTTCATCTTTGTCATATATTGATTGATATTTTTCTTTCTTATAAATAGTTGTAAGCTTCTAATATCTAAAACGCTATGTTATGGTACACATTTACAAAAGTGTGTACATTATACGCAAGTTATTATGACATTTGTAAGATTGATTATCATAAATGTCATAACTAAATCGTTTTAGTCATAATTTAAAGAAATAGTTGTAACCAAATACTTTTTGGATCACAACAACATCATAATTAGTCAAGCTATAAAACACCATAATTTTTTTATTTTTTTTGTGAGCAGTCGAAATCAGTCACAAAGAGAAACGAGACAAGTGAGAAGCTAAAAAAGTAGGGAGACTAGCCACTCCATTCAATGGAAGAGAATCTCACAATAGGTCATAATTCTAAAAATGACAAATGCCATAATTAGGGCATATATATCATAGAATTTTTCATATCTAAATTGTCTAAATAAATCTTTTGATAAATTACATCAATAGCCCATACATTTTGCCCCTTGTATCATTTTGAATTCTACACTTACAATTGACTCAATTTTGATCATTAATTTTAAATTTTATGTCAATTTAGTCCGATTAATAAAGTCATTAGTGCTTTTGTTAAATAAATTATCACTAAATTGATTAAAATTAACTCATTAAGTTGAACAAATTTATAATTTTGTGCCTAAAAACATGGCACATGCCCACTTATATACACATTTATTTTTATTAAAAATGCTAACAATTGTAATCAATTTAATTAAAATAAAGTCATAAATTGATGGTATATTCGAGCTAGGGTCGGCCTTATTGGAGCCCAAGGCAAACTTTTGAAATTGGGCCTTTGATACATAATTTAAAAATTTTAAAAAGAAGGAAAAATATAAAAATAAAGAAAATAAAAAAGAGAGAAAGTGCTTGTACAAAAATAACTACTTACAGTTTTTTTTATTTGCTAATATCCACACAAATTCTACTTGTACATATAATCACTAAAATTATATACTAAATTTATTTACATAGATCAAGATATAAAGAAATTATTACAATAACTAAATGATATAAAAATATAGCCTTATTACTTTATGATTTAACAAATCTAGATTACAACAAAAGAAAAAATAAATAAATACAAATGTATAATTCAAAATAAAAATTAAACCAATTACGACAAAGCATTAATAAAATAGTACTTTTACCGTATTTTTAAATGTAGAACTAATTAATCATTCATAATTTATTTGGGCATTAATTACATTAAATCCTTATTTTTTAGCCTCCTAAAGTCATAAGAGCTAAAATTAGTTGGGGTTAAGAGAGAAAAGTTTAGCCATGAGTGAAACCTTAAAATTTTGGAAAATTAATTTTTTTAAAGTGCAATAATTGTACTACTAAAAAAAATTAAATTTCTCAAAAAGGACTATTATTTTGGAACGAAAAGGAGTATTGACTAATCTATTAAAATATATAATTTTTTTCATTTAAGATATATTTGTTTTTCACATATTTTAGAGTCATTCTATTAAAAAAATATTTAATAATATGTTATAAATTTCTTTTAAATAAGGAAATATAATTGAGCTGAAATCAAACATTTTATGAATAATTTTATTTAGTAGAGATTAACTTCATAAAATTTAACTTGTGAAAAAGAAATAATTTTGTCATACACTTGGTACTTTTAACTAAGAGTCAAAGTTTTAATATGAAACATTAATCGGACACAAATAAAAAAATGATATGATACAATAACATAAAAAATAAATGGATTGAATATATTAAAGTAATTCTGATATAAATCTAAAAGAAAATGACATGATACCTATTCCTAGTTGTGAGTGCTAAATTTTACTCAAATTTGGGGGCTTGAGGTGACTGACTACCTTTGTCGCCTCCCCTCACCTCAAGACCGGCTCTAAATCAAGCCAATTAAAATTAAAAAGACCAAAATGACAAAAGAATCAAAACACAAAAACTACCGATATAATTTGCCTATATTATATTTGTGGAGACCCAATCCAATTTGGAAACAAATAGGTTTGATTACAAAAACCCTAGATTCACAATATATATATATATATATTGATTATGTTTTTTTTGCTTGGTGGAATTAAAAAGGAAAAAGTGGCGGCTGCTTACAATTTTCGGAAACAGTGCCGAAGATTGAATATTTGGTTCAATTTCGGTTTTTTGTGAAGCTCAATTTTTGGGGTATCTTCGGTTCTGATTTGGTTTGTTATTTTGGGTCTTCTTCAACTTTGGTTCAGAAGATTTTGGTTCTTCTATTTGGTGAGGTCTTTCCTCTTTGTTTATTTGTGATTATTTGGAATTCACCTAAGGGTGGTTTTGTGAGACCATTAGTGTCTCGTTTGTAATCGTTTGGAATTATTTGGTTGATAGTGGAATCGGATTTCGATCCCGTGGACGTACCTCACATTGAGGGAACCACGTAAAAATTCTTGTGTTGCCTTTGATTTAATTTTTCCGCATTAGTTTTTATTCCCATTGATTGATTTACTTGTGGAGAATCACATCGATTTTCCCTAACAACCTCAAGACCGGCTCTAAATCAAGCCAATTAAAATTAAAAAGACCAAAATGACAAAAGAATCAAAACACAAAAACTACCGATATAATTTGCCATGAATCTTTTCTTATATAGTTACATTGTTACATTGCCTTCTTAGTTATTAACTAAAAAAATTGCGCAGATGCTAACTTAGCTGTAGCTTACATAATTCAGTTTACACTTATTATTTTATAATGTTTAATGTCTCAAGCTATTATTAGAACAAAATAAACGATAACTCAGTTTACATTTAATTTATAATGTTTAATTAAATCTCTATTTATTTATGACTGGTATAAAATGAAAAAAATTCAAATCTTTAAAAAAAAAATGAAAAAGATTTAGTTTACCAAAGTTGAAAGATATTTTAAGTAAATATTTTAAATTTGAAAATCTTTAAATATATATTTTAAATTGATAAATTTTTTCAACGTTGTTTTAGACATTAAAAAAATTCATTAATTTAAAAAAGGGAGAGGCTTCTTTCCAGTCCATTGGGCCTGTGGGGCCCACTACGGGTCTTGTTTCCATAATCCGAACCGTTCAATGTGTAAAAATCGTTGAATACATTATGTTCGCAAAAAAATCACGTTGATCGAATATCGATAACCCCTTGATCGGAGCATATTTTTGTTAACAATTTATTTTTAAAATCATATTTACCATTGACAAAAATATATTCCGATCAAGGGGTTACCGATATCCGATTAACGTGATTTTGCAAGCATGAAATACTCGACGAGTTCTACACATTAAACAGTTCGTATTATCAAAATGGGATCCAAAGTGAATCCCACGGATCCAACCATATGCTCTAGTTTACGTAGTAGACCGGAGAAAAGCCTCTCTTAAAAAAATAAAAAAAAAATAAAAATAAAAAAAAAAAAAAAAAAAAAAAAAAAAGACTGTCCGTTTGCTCTATTTGGTGGTACCCACCTCAATCATCCATCATAACATATAAAAGTTTTAGGAAAAACATTTACGTTCTTAAAAGTAAAAATTTCAACAGTTATGAAAAAGTAATTTGAAAAAGTAAAAAAAAGATTGTTAGTGGCAATTTAGAAATGTTACTAATAAATCTACTTTTAAAAACAAAATAATTTGGCACCAAAACAGTTTACTTTTTGAAATGAATATTTTGTTTTAAAAGGATAGCAATTATTATTAAGGTCTGGTTTGGCATATATTATAAAAGTTATTAAAAAAAGTATAAAAATTAATACTATTCACAATATTTTAATGGTACAAAACAAAAATAAAAATATTATACCAGAACAGTACACATCAAGGGTCCAAAACCAAAAAAAATTAAAAAATAATTTTTTATATGATTGATAATAGATACATGCATCACTGCCCCACACGTCCAAACAAAATAAAAAATAAAAACAAATTTTCAAATACAAAAATGATTTAGACCTCTAAAAAAAGAGCTCTAATAGAGCATTAATTTGTCTTTTTCTTCTCTTTTTTTTGTCTTTTACTTCACTATTTATTTATTTTTTTTAATGGGTGACAGCTCATTAGAGCTGCACTGTTGCAGCTCTAATTAGAGCTCCGGAGCATGACCCTTTCAAATATTGTACCAGACCACGGTGAAAAAGAACGAAAAAAAAAACCAACTTTTTCCAGTACACAGATCTGTACTGACATACACGCATATTTATATAAGTAAAATTGTAATTTTGTAAATTTATACAATATTTTAATACACATTTTTTTATAAAAAAATCAAAAAATTAATCCAAACAATCATCTTTTTTTTTCTCAACTTTTTAGTTCAAAAAGTCAAAAAGTGTTGACCCTTTCAAATATTGTACCAGACCACGGTGAAAAAGAACGAAAAAAAAAAACCAACTTTTTCCAGTACACAGATATGTACTGACATACACGCATATTTATATAAGTAAAATTGTAATTTTGTAAATTTATACAATATTTTAATACACATTTTTTTATAAAAAAATCAAAAAATTAATCCAAACAATCATCTTTTTTTTTCTCAACTTTTTAGTTCAAAAAGTCAAAAAGTGTACTTATTTAGGACACCCCAAACAACCCCTAAATGTCTAGTTTCATCACTAAAAATTTTAACAATAATTTTTTCAGCAACTAAATATTTTGTTCCTAAATTTGTGTCCCTAAAATTTGTTATAATAATTCGAACCGTTCATTTTTTTATAGTGATCCGAATCATTCATTTTGTATGACCCTCGTATAAGATCATGACAAAAATCAAGTTAATCAGATCTCATTTGTCTAAAAGAATTTGATTGACTACTTTGAAAGTTATGTTGGTGTTAATTTTTTTTGGTTAATTACATTTTTCACCCTAATAGTTTGACTCAAATTTCACTTTAATTTTTTTGTTTCAATTCAAACAATTTGGTCATTCTGTCTAAATTGGATGTTAAAATTAACATTTTTTGCTTCTCAATTTTTTAAGGTTTCAATTTGATTCTTTCGTCTAAATTGAGTGTTAAAATTAAAAAAATTTAGGGGTACTTACGTGTATGTCCTAATAAGTAGACTTATTGTCTAATATGAAAAAAAAAAATTGTCATAAAAAAAATCACTAATTGTAAGTTTTAGCGACAATTTGTAAAAATCATGACAAAAAAAGTCACTAATTGTTAATTTTTAGTAACGTATGTAAAAAAATTGTCAAAAAAAAAATTATTTTAGAGACAATTTTACAAAGACTTATTTTCAATAGGATTTGATGGGAATTAAGTCTAACTATTAGGACCTATTGGTAATTTACCCAAAAAAATTTTAAACACTTGTCAATTTACTACATGTAGACAAAATTTACAAAAAATTAGACGGAAGAACCAAATTAAAACTAGCTTAAAAGTGTATTCAAATTAAAATTGTAAGGACTAAAGTGAATTTTGGGTCAAACTACAAGCGTGAAAAATGTAATTAACCCATTATTTTTCATACAAATGTGATCCGATTCAATGGTTCTCAGTGTCCGATCAATCTAATTTTTTATAATGAATAATCTGCTCAATAAGTCTAACAAGATGAATTATTTGGATTGTCAAAATGGTCCGAAGTGGGCTTACAGTGGGCCGAACTGCTAGAGAGAGATCCATTCCCTATTATTATCCTCTTAACATTTTTTTTAATCTTTCAAAAGAATTTTGTTACAGTTATAAACTAAACTACCAAACATTTTACTGATGGGTCCGGCTTTTGTCCAGTCCGGGATCGGTCGGACTGGATCGGACTGGACCGTGCTGTTGGGTCCGTGGGGGCCCACCACGGGTCCCGTTTTGAAAATCTGAACCGTCAATGTGTAGAACTTGTCGAGTACTACATGTTTGTAAAAAATCACGTTGATCGGCTATCGATAGCTATGTGATCAAATCAGTTTTGTATAAAAAAAAAATGAACGGTGAAAAAATTAACGGTTGAGAAAAAACTGTTTTGTTCACATAGCTATCGATATCCGATCAACGTAATTTTTTACAGGCATATAGTACTCGACGAGTTCTACATATTGAACGGTTCAGATTATTAAAACAGGACCCGTGGTGGGCCCCACGGACCCAACAGCACGGACAGAAGCCTTGGCCTTTACTAATTACTCACAAGTGAGTAGGCTTCCACACACGTGACCAGTTGATAGAATAATGAATAATGCTATATATATCAATTCGTGTACCAACTAGTGTATCAATTGATGATGTGACATAATTTAAGAGGTTTTTGATATTTATAATTTGTATAATGAGTGTGTTCAGTAATAATGTCATAATATATGTTGGTACATTAGTTAACACTAATTGATGTAGGTAGCATTACCGTACAATAATTGGTAAGTTAGCTAATTTTTTGTTTTTTAAAATAAACGTGGCCTTGTATGGTTCTCTCACTTCAATGCAAAATGCCCATTATTATAGGTCAAGATTGTAAAAATGTAAGTATCTTATAATTTTGTGTGAATTTTATGAATAGAAATTCTGTTAGTAAATTTTATTTATTTTTATTTGGTATGAATAAATTTATATGAACACAAATATGTATGTAAACACACAATTTATATTGAACATGTCGTAAAATTAACACACACGATCTTATTATGCAATTATGAAAAAGTATAAACTAGAAATAGAGATATAATAGCAAATAGAATGAAAAGTGGTTCACAAATTAGCAATTAATTAAGCTCTTAAATAAGAAAAGCATACCTTGTCGTTGAAGAGGGGTTGAATTATGGGATCACAATTACTCTCTGATTCTGAAGCAAGACAGAGACGTTTCAGTTTTGGCATAACCCACAGTGTCAAGGAACTCAGTTGTGGCAGCTCAATTGCATTCATAGCTTTGCAGATAGCACTAAAACTTGGCATGTATTCAAGACACAATTGCTTTAGTTTAGGAAACTCAATTTTATCTGTTGCTATTGCTGCTATTTCATGCTCTCCTCCTTCACTCGAAACAATTACTTCCATCATAGGACAATGAGTTATCTGAAGGTGCTGCAATTGCACTAGATCTCTAGCTGTGGAAAGTGAGAACATACTTTCCAGTTTATCACAACCCCAGACAATTACAGATGTCAGGTTGCCGAGCCATACAAGTTGGGTAGGACCCTTCCACAAATTTGCCAGTTCAGGCAGGGAATATAGTGTCAACAATTTCAATGCACTGAAAGCCTTGTTCGGTAGTCGGCATTCATGACTAGTGATCCCTTTGAAATTAGGTAGATGATGAAGATGCAGAAACTCTAACACAGGGAAAGCACTCTGTGGAACCCCATCTGCTGTATTGATGAGGTATTCCAAATCATACAATTCTCGTATGCTCAACTTCGTTAAGCATTCAAAACCATCTTCGTCGACCAAATCACAGAGAATTTTCAAACCTTTTATTCTTGCGATTAAATACAGGATTTCAGTGCTCTTCAACAGCAAATTAAGCCTCAATTCAATAATGTCACTCATAATTTGATGTTGGAGCATCAACTGATTTGATAACCGATAGCAAGGGTTACGTAGTGGCAAAAAGCCAACAGTTATATTGAACTTTTTTAACCTCTCAATGACCAAACCTCTCGGCCAGAAGGAAATGTCTATTAGAGCAATATCCAAAGCCACCAAATTGCTCAAGGACGCCAGCTCATCGATAATTGCTTTAGAACCTTCTTTGCTTTCTTCATCTTCACTCAAACTGTCAAAACTATGCCCAACATACAGCTCTTCTAGCTTTGATAAGCTTGACAAGACCCCTGGGTAAATCTTTTCCACTACACATCCTAACAAATCAAGTACCTTCAATTGAGCAAGGTGACCTATTATTTCTTTTGGCAATTCCTTGATATAAGAGCCGGCAAAGCTCAAAATTTCCAGATTCTCTAATGCTCCGATTATAGAGATATCATCATCAATAAGTCGGCAACGAAAAAGTGACAAGGTTCGGAGGTTGGTCAAGCGTTGAAGTGATGCCGGCAATGAGCTGTACATGTCGGATAAAGCTAGCACTTTAAGTTCTTTCATTCCTTGGTAGAAACTATCTAGGGTCTCTTGTACTTTGACCTTCGCCATCTCTTTGTGGAGATCATATGATGAGATTAGTGGTAATCGAGCATTGCAATCTAGCTTTAGAAGATGGAGATTTGGAAATTCTAAATTGCCAGGAAGCCCATGCATACCATCAACTTTTAATGAAATTATAGCGTTTTTTTCGAGTCGGTCTTTCTTGGGCCATTCTTTCAATACTTCATCACATCTCACGACAATCAAATGCTCCTTCCTACATGCAATTGATATAGCCACGTCACGTACGACATCATGCATTTTGATACACTCTTCATTTTCACTTTCCATCAATAGGTAGCATTTTTTTAAGTCATCAACTATGAAATATACTCTGTTTCTTGCTTGGTGCACACTATCAATGCGCTCAAACAACTCTATCCCAATCGCATATCTAACGAGAACTTCAATTGGAATGTCAAAATCTTCCGGAAATAAAGAACAGAGCAGAAAACATTTCTTGGCTTCATCACTATCAAGGGAATCATAACTCAACTCTAGAGATTTAAACACCTTTTCATCCACTCCACTGATGTTTTTCACCATAGACTTTCGTAATTGTTCAAGAGCAGAATCCCATGAATACTTGTTTTTGCATCTAAGTGCCCTCCCGACTGTAACAATAGCAATCGGCAAGCCTCCACATTCCTTCGCAACTGCCATCTGCATCAACTGCAAACCAGTTGGGTGACTTGTACCTTCGTCCGAAATTTCAGCCATCTCCTTGAAAAGATTCCATGCTTCTTCTTTATGTAAGATGCCAACCTCAAAATTCTCGTGTGTGCCCATGCTGTTGCATACATCTTTATTTCTTGAAGTCATCACAATTTTGCAACCCTTGTGATTATCTCCAAATGGAATTCCAATGTCATTCAATTCTAGTCTCTTCCATACATCATCCAATATTACAAGGACTCTTCCAAAGCTCAATATTTTTGATCTTATCTTCCCCGCTCCAGTTGGTAAATTGTTTCCCCCAAAATCTTGTAAATCCAATATTTTGGCTATCTGGCCTTGAATAGTAATCAAGTTTGGGTTTTGGGACACTACTACCATCACAATAACATCGAACATTTTTTTTTCTTCCACTTTCTTGGCAACTTCATTCACCATAGTTGTCTTACCAACACCTCCAATCCCACATATCCCAATCACATGGATTCTATCATCTGTCAGTACCTCCATAACTCCATTCATAATCGATCTTCTAGATTCAAACCCCTTAAAACCTCCAGTGAATGCAAATGTTGTCCCCACAGAAGGTACAACTGTAGGATAGGACACTGTAGAGAAAACTCCTGCTCCACGTAGCTCTTCCACACTTTGAGTTTTCTTTGTAGCTTTTCTGCTCAAGGAATAGCGTGACTTCAAATTTGGACACCACCCATTCAGACACCCTTTGTTTGCTTTCACTTCAACCTCGAGGAATTTCTTAGCCTCTTCGTTGAGGTCGTTCACTGTTTTCAACCACCGCTCGACACCTGGTGCAATAGTTTCTCTCTTTGCCTCTGCTTCGTCAACTGATTTTTGTACTCCAAATCTTTTATCTTCCAGCTTTTGGACCTGCTTCTCCAGATTCTTAATGTTTCTGTCATAGAAAATCAAATAACAAAACTGGCGGCCAACTGGGGCAACCAGATATTCTCCAATCTTCATTACTACAGGAAGAACATAGTTCAGGACCATTTCTCTCACGTTTTCCTTCGAGGATAGTGATACTTAAAATGTAAAAGACTAGAACACAACAAAGGGATTTTCTACAACAATCGAAATGGAAATGAGGAAACTGAGCTTTGCAAATCAAAATAAAACGAAGAGAGTAATGCTATTTTGCAGAGGATGTGAAGACTGGAAAGGAACACTTATATGATACTGGGCAAAATCAAAAGGGAACACAATTTTTTTTTTTATTTTTTTATTTCTCTCTCTGAGAAGAAGGTTGAATATAGAGAATTATATTGTAATATAATTGGACAAGAAAGGGGATCTTTTGTACTATAACAGAAACAGAAACCGAGAAAGGGAGCTTTGTAAAATGAAAACAGAACACACAACAGAATATTTATTCTGATAATTGTTCAACAAGAGTTCTGATAGAGTTGTAGTAAAGAAGATAATAAAACTCTCTAAAATCAAAAAGGGATACACAGTTTTTTTTTTTTTTTTTTTTGGTATGCAACACTTGAACACAACAAAATTGAAGGCAGAAAGTACGGTGTTTTTTTTCTTTTTTTTGGGGATAAGAAGCAATGATAAAAAGAGAGTAATAGTGTATGATTGAAGGAGGAAATGAAGAAAGAAAAACCTTTTTTGAGATTTTGCAGCGTCTCTTACAGATAACTCGGCGGCAGTGAAGAGTGTAAAATAAATTGATGTATATTATTGATTTATAAGATTGTTGTATATATTGATCTGTATATTACAAGTCCTATATATAGAGAGGTTTTGGGAGTAGTAGGTGTAGAGTGGGTGGTGGTAGTGGATGGTAGTGGAGGTGGTGGGTGGTAGTGGAGATGGTAGGTGGAGTTGGTGGTGGGGTAATGGAGGTGTGTAGTGGTAGTGGTAGGTTTTAGTGGGTTTAAAGCTTTTCAGGAAGGAAAAGACCAGAAGAAATCAAATAGAAGCACTGTATCAAAAGCCAAACAATGAACCTGATAATAGGGGGTTTGTTTGACTTTGGGAAATTCTATTATGCACACCTGTTATGGTATGTATTTTAAGTTATACTATTTTTTATTTTTTTTAAGTAAAGATCTTATTTTAGTTATACTTGACGTGTTATTTGGTTGTGATTATTATTATGTTTTTATTTTCGTTATAACGTAGAACGTATGAAATTATATCATTTTTTTTAGTTATAAGATGCATATATATAAATTAAAATTTATTTTGTTCTTAAACTATTGAATATATTAAATATCGAAAATATTTAATTCAAATATATTCGGTCTGATTTGGTGCCAAAATTTTCATAATTTCGTTTAATTTTAAAATTCATGAAATCATAAGTAATGGTTGTCTTGGTTTAATCCTAACTGAACCAATACGAACCATGCGCATTCCTAGTTTTGATATCCAAACAGTTCATTTTGTAAGGTTTTCAATTTATTTCATCCTTGCAAAAAATTAGTCAGGTTTAATAATCATAACCTTTTCATTTAATTGTATTTATCTTCGAAAAAATAAATGATAAATATATTTTTTAAAATAGACTATTCATTTTTTAGAAACAAAAATAATAAAACTAAAATGTTATTATCATCGAATCGAAATAATTTTTTTTTTATGTATGATATACATTAAGAGTCTTACAAAATGAATGGTTTGAATCATTGAAATAAGATTTGTAATGGATCCCATGGGGCTTTTAATTTTTGTCATGTTAATATATAAATATGAAAGAAATCCAATCCTTTTAAAGTAAAGTTTCATTCCATTTATTAATGAACTCCTAAAATTTGAATACAAAAGTGAGTAAAGACTTCACAATCTTGTTAGAGAAGTATTAAATAATTTTGAGTGATGCTATAAAATAAAAAATAAATAATTAGAAACATTTGGCCACAAATCCCATTTCAAAGAGTTAGTTACGCTTCAATCTTGCACATAATTTTTAAACCTCTCAAGTTCAATTGTATCTGGGTGTTGTGTACTTTATTATTTGAAATATTTTTGACATGTTTTTTTTTTAATTTTTATTTAAATTCATAATCTAAACACAATCTACAAAAACGTTTATGAAGTAAGATTTTTAGTTTTAAAAACTAGAAAATTAATATAAAAAATTTTAAAAAATCAAAATTATAAAAATTGTATAAAAAAAAATTAAAAATTCTTTATCATAGCTTGCGTGCCGACTCTTTCCATGGAGATAATTAAAAGTGACCAATTAAATACTCAATTGCTTGTGGTTAGGTATTTCGCCTCTATCGTTCTGATTTATTTGTATATATTTTTTCGAAAAAGGGTCCAATGAAATTCTTTTCCTTCATTGATTAAATGTCTCAACTTTACTTTGATTTTATTAAGGAAGATGGTCTTGTTAGGGACCAATCAAATTCTTTTCCAATTTCTTTTCTTTCATTAAAATTAGAAGAATAATATTATATGCATCAATTGGTATATACTAATTAGTGTATTAATAGATGATATGTCATAATTTTAGAGATTTTTAGTATTTGTGATTTATATAATGGATAGGGTCAACAATAATGTCATAAGGTATGTTGGTACACTAGTTGGTATATCAATTGATGCACATAGCACTACCGAAAATGTTTCAACTTTATTTTCATTTTATTAAGGAAAATAGCCTTGTTGACGTGTGATTATAAGGAACCAGTGAAATTTCTTATAGTTTCTTTTGTTTGTTTGTTTGTTCGTTTTTTTATTTTTTTCCATTAAAATTAGAATATTTTAACTTTACTTTCATTTGAGATGATCTTGTTAACGTGTGTGGTTTTAAGATGACTAAAGTTTTTTTTTTTTTTTTTGGATCGGTGAAAGCTAATAATTAGTTGTTAGATTACCATTTTAGGATAGTTGAAACTTACATCTATATACCTTGTAAGAAAATCTTACCCTTTCATTTCACTCATAAAAATAAAATTTAAGATCTCCCCCTTAAAAGAAACTTTAGTGGCCAAAAAAATTAACCAATTAGGTTAGAACCCCTCGTTATGACCTAAGAAAGTTGTGGTTTTATGACATTTTAAAGTTGCTTAAAGACATATGTTAATGGATTGAGCGGTGCTATTATGACCAGCAGCTACTGTGAATTTTGTAGGAAGTCTATTTTAATGATTCGAGTCATTCATATTATTGAATTTATTGAACATATCATTCATCTAAAAAATTAAATTAATTAAATATGTGTAATTCTATGATCAAGTTTTAATTATTTTTAAAACCATTATCAAAATTATGATAGCCGTTTAATTTTTTACAAAATATGAACTTGTTATGGGATGGGACTATATATCCAATTAACTCGATTTCTTACATGACTAATTTATTTTACAAATACTACAATTTAAACAGTCTGGATAATCAAAATAGGTTCGAAATAAAATTTCACTAAGCTCGCAGCAGTAATTGTTGTGACTAAGTCATCACAGTAGGAGCACTGGTTCCTATGTTAATACAATTTTCATTAAAATTGGGCATGTTTAATGGAAAATGTCTCTTCAAATTTGACTCATAATGTTATAGCAGGGTATGTGTCAATTATAAATTTGTAACGCACTCAAATACATAAACTCAACTATTTTGTTACATCATTATGAATTAATTTATGAGCCTAAAATTTAGAATTTCTAATTATTTCTCTTGTTTAATTTTTAAAAATTTTATTATTATATATTACATTAATTATCAACAAAAATTTTTAAAATTTATTAATTTGTTTAAAACTTTTCTACTCTCTCTGTCCAAAAATATTAGTCTTTTATTCTATTTTTTATTGTTCCAAAATATTAGTCTATTTTCAAAAATTAAGGACTAAAATAATATGAATTTCTTATTTTGTCCTTCTTTTAAATATATTAACAACACAAAAAGCATAATTATGACAATTGACATTTTTCAAAAATTATACTATCAAAGGATAATTTTGAAAAATTAATATTTTTAAAATATAATAATTGTATTACTAAAAGAAATTAAATTCTCTAAAATGAATTATTATTTTGAAATGGAGGAAATACTTGATATGGCCAACTAACCATGTGAATGGTCCGTAACCGTATTGCTTACAATGCATGGGTCATTACTAAAGTAAAATTTTATGAAAAATGCTATAGATTCGAAATGAATTATTAAATATTTTATCAAATGTCTCATATAGGTGTAGGACCCACACACATGTGATTTGTGTGGGTCCCACACCTATGTGGAAGGTTTAGTAGAATATTTAGTAATTCATTTGGGTTCCTAGCATAACTCAAATTTTATTATTATATATTACATTAATTATCAACAAAATTTTAAAAAATTTATTAGTTTACATAAAACTTTTTGACTTGATTTGGCGAACTAACCATATGAATGGTCTACGTAACGAAAATGTATTTGTTAGTTTTGAAGTATTGCTATGTGATATTTTAATGTTATTGTGATTAATGTAGATGATGGGATTTACGAATTTATGTTAGATAATTAAAAAATATAAAAAAATATAATAAATTATAATTAATGTGGAAAACGGCCAAGCGCCTCAAAACCAAACAATAATTTTTCCTGCGTAACCGCATTTCTTTCCATGCATGGGTCATTATTAAACTGAAATTTTATTATATATTGCAGTAATTATCAACAAAATTTTATAAAGGTCTCGTTTGGGAAGTGACTATTTTAGTTTTTGACTATTTTAGTAGGTTAAAATTTTTGTATTTGGGAAGATGATTGGATTTTTTTGTGATTAGATGTGATATTTGTGAGAGAAAAAGTGAAATAATTATGGGTTTGATGTGATATTTTATCTTATTAGCTATTTTAACTTATTTTGTCTTTTTATAATTTTTAACCTAAATTAAGCTATTTTTTTTCTTCCCAAACACCCCAAATTTATAAATTTGTATAAACTTTTTCACTTGATTTGGCCAACAAACCATGTGAATGGTCGGCGTAACTGCGTTGCTTTCAATGCTTGAGTCATTATTAAAGCAAGTCAGTCATTATTTACGAATTCCAAAGGATCAAATGTTATGATTGTTTATGTAATGCTTGTAATTAATAATGTAGTCAAAGAATTTAGAGGTGAACCAATACTGACTCACCAAAAAATCAAAGATAACCAACTTAAGGGTTTTTTTTTTTTTAAAATTTTTTATATTTCAAAATCACTACATAAATAATGTCAATAATGTATCCACATCTATTTTAATAATTTTCAAACAGTGTTACATACACTAACTAATGTATCAATTAGTATTATGATATTATTATTGACTCTACCCATCATGTAAATTATAAACAGTTAAAAATTATAAAATTATATCACATTATATGTTAGTACACTAATTAATATATATATATATATATAACATTATTCTTTCTTTATATATGATTTGTATATATATAACATTATTCTTTCTTTATATATGATTTGTATGATTTGATATATGATATAAACGTAGATTATTTTATTCGAGTTGGGTCCGACAATGGGATTTTACCAACCATATGATATAGTAGTGCTTGCTTTCGGACCAAAAATTGACAATTTTCATTGGTTGCGTGTGGTTTAGAAATCATATTTAAAAAATGTGACAAATCAATTTCTTTTTCAAAATTATAAATAAAATATAAAATCAATTTCTATTTCATCAATAAGATTGAAATGTTTCTACTTTA